ATGGCTGCCGTCAGCAATGGTAATCACCGATTTTGTCTATATCTTTCCTTTCTTCTTTGGCGAACAACGACTCTCTCTCCCTCTATCTCTCTCTCTCACTCGCTCTCACATTCGGTCTCTCTATCTCTCCCTCTATCTCTCTCATTCACTCTCTCTCAGTCGCTCTCGCAACTTGTACTGCTTTTTCTTGAAATCTTCTATTTTCATTGTAGCCTTACCTTTGACCTCTCTTTAATATTTTTCCAGATTATTTTCTTTATTTCTTGCTCATTACTCTTTGATGCGGTAAGTCGTTCGTCCATTCGTTCATTCATTCATTTAATTCTGTCTTATATCATAGACTTTATCATATATATCACCGTCTCTATTTCTGTTTCTTTTAAATACTTACATACATACATATATATATATATATATATATATATATATGGTGTATGTGTGCGTAAAAAGGGTGAGGATGCTTGTCTTATATACTTTTATCATATATATCACCGTCTCTATTGGTTTCTTTTAAATTCTTATTTATATATATATATATATATATATATATATATATATATATATATGGCGTGAGTTTGTATGTCCGTGTAAATATGGTGAAGGTTCTTGTCATCTGACGATCTATCTGCGTGAAGCTTGCAGTATTTGCAGTATCGATTTGACTCACTTTTTGTGATTTTTCGTTGGTTAGTATATATATATATATATATATATATATATATATATGTAGGTGAATATATATATATACTATAAAAGGACAATAAAACCTGATCGAAATCCTTATTGCAAGTTTCACGCACCCTCATCTTATTTATCTTTCTATCTCTTTCTCTCGCTATATATATATATATATATATATATATATATATATATATATATATATAGGTAAAAATAACTTTTTGTGACAAGTTTCGTCCTTTTCGACTTCATCGAACTAAATTTGTGTACGAACGAGGGATGCTGGGAATTTCACATTTTTCACTTACCGATTCCATTTAGACACTATATTCTTTTACTTTTCATCATATTTATTACTAGATATCTCAAAATGTGATAATAGTAGAAGTTCCCAGAGGAATGGTGAGACGTTGTATGACCCCGGGGGCAAATTAACTGCAGATGATCTTGCGATCAAAAATAATCTCTAAAAAAATATTAAAATTAAAATCTTAATCGCAGTACCTTGTCAGTCCTCTTTAACGAAACGCAGACACACACACGCTCGTGCGCGCGCACACACAGAGTGATACACACACACACACACACACACACACACACACATATATATATATATATATATATATATATATATATACTTAATTGTATTGATGTCAGTTTGACGATCGAAAAGGGCTTCACGCCCTTTTCGATCGTCAGGCAAACTCTGACGGTCGCAGTCAAACATAGGGTCACAAACTCACTAATATATTGAGCACTTTCCAATAAGTATCGCGTATATATAACATATAAATGATAAATTACATATATATATACATACATACATATATATATATATATATATATATATATATATATATATATATATATATATATATATATATATATATATATAACCGGGTTAGGTGTACTATGTATATTATATAAAAGTATGATTTTGTTGGTAGATGTTGCCATATTATGAAACACCTAATGTGCTATATGAGCTTACGGCCATAACGTTTTAAAACATCAATTAATATCCGATTACCGAATTTAAGCAACATTGAGCTTGCTCTGTACTCAGATAGGAAGTCCAGGTACTCTAAGGTACGCGACAGGCCTAGAAAGCTGGCGATGGATGCAAACTTTGCTACTTCTAGTAAGAGAAGAACTCGATTTGTGTAGGTTTTTCTAGACTGACACATAACCTACCTGGACTCGTGTTATTACTGAATTCGTTTAGAGTAGAGTTGGTCGCAACCGTCATAATTTTTTTTTTCTATTTTTATTTAGTTTCTTTCTCCTTTCTCCCGTTTAGTCAACTGTTGTTCTAGTTTTGTTTTTTACACTTGTTTTTCTCTCTGCTTATATTTGATTGGTACTGTTTTCTCTATGAAACGTGTTGCCTGAAATTCACTCTGTGATAAATTCGGACTTTTGTACTGTTGCGTTGGTTAGCGTTCCTCTTCTGTCTCCATTTACTTTCTAGAGATATTGAGCACTTTCGTTATATTTCCGCATAAAGTGTCAGTCTTTTCTCTTATATTTTTTTGTTTTGTTTTATGTTTCTGTTGTCGTTTTTGTTTGATTTTTCTTGTTTTCTTTTGTTTTGTCGTTTCTTCTAAACAAAAGTCGGATAGCAGAGGTCTCATTCTAGTCGTGTTTGTTATATTTACTTACGCACGCATATGCTTGGGAAGGACAGTAATCTTTTATGGCTTCAGGCTTCTTTCTTATAATATGCTTAGTATTGTACGGTTATATTTGGAAGGTTTGCCAATAGTTTGTTTCGTCATATATATATATATATATATATATATATATATATATATATATAAATATGTATACATATATTATAAATTGATTTAAAAATATATATATATTATAAATTAATTGATTTAAAATATGGTTTTTATCTTACTGTTCTTTCTTTTTTTATATATACATACATACACACACACACACACACACACACACACACACATATATATATATATATATATATATATATATATATATATTATGAAATGGACAAAGTCCGACAATTATTTAAAGACATTTTTATGTTTAATATTTTTTTTTTTATAGATACAAGTATAACAGAGCATTTACTAAAATACTTGTATCTATAAAAAGAATGTTAAACATAAAAATGTCTTTAAATATATATATATATATATATGAAGCATAAAAAAATGAACACTATTTACATCATTCGGACAATTGTCCTCATTTTTGTCGCCATATTTATCACAACGTTTCGCCGATATAGGCTCCGGCCTTCTTCAGGTAGTTGCAATGTCGAGGTGAACCCTTTATTTCGCTCGCTGGGGTAGACTGTTCTAGTTCCCCGAGCCATGTCTAATGGATGTCAGTTTTCAGTTATCTCTTGTTAAATGACCTCTCCAAGTTCTCCACTGACTTAACCAGGTATTGTCATTAAGGTCACATGGCACAGTGGATATATATATAATTATAATATGTCGCCTATATAGAGCTGGTGTTAATAAAACAGTGCTCGATGTTATATAACAGAGCTATTATGTATATATCAATAAATATACACATTATCCCTCAGTAATAGCACGACTCTGAGTCCCATGCCCGACGCAATCTTCGATTGCTGAGTATGAACTGACATTTGATTATTTTGAATTATATCTCTATTATAATCCAATATACGGTGGAGTAATGAATAGCCACTTAGATTGAGGAATTGGAGAGCCGAGTTCGAATTCCTGTCGAATCCATTAAATTCACTTTCGTGTTAATACCCTTAGGAAAGGTGTGAATCCTCTTCTTCTCCCTCCAGCTATGGATAAATAGCAGGAGAGACTGGGTTCTATATTCTTGGATGTCAACTAGTCTAGGAGAAGGACAACTCAGAATTCAAAACCTGCGGAGGGTCGTTTGGGGACCTTGTGGCACGTAGTGCACCAGGTCTCTGTATTCGGCTCTTCAAAAAAGTGTAGATGGTTCTCCACAAAACTTTCACCAATATAAGCAAATCTCATGTGCTCTAGTCGGGCTCAATTGATCTGCTTTACCTCCATATGTCGAAAAAGTCGAATATATATATACGGGAGAATATAGTATATATATATATATATATATATATATATATATATATATATTGAAATGTGTCATAAAAACCTTTTTTTCCAATTTGTCATACATTTTTTCTTTTTAGGAGGTCCGGTGGAGTAATGGATAACGGCTTGGATTGAGGAATCGGAGAGCAGAGTTCGAATTCCTGTCGAATCCATTACATTCACTTCTGTGCTAATACACTTGGGAAAGGTATGACTCTTCTTCTTCTCCCCCTACCGTAATCGATCATGTATCTGTCGATACATGACTGACGAGACAGATTTTCCCCCGCAGTAAGTTGCCATTTCTTTCTGCGGTAGACCAGTTGCAATCCAATGCTATAGAACCCTGTCTGTCCTGCTATTTTCCTATAGCTGGGAGGAATATGAGGATTCATACCTTTCCCAAAGGTATTAGCAGATAAGTGAATGTAATAGATTCGACTGGAATTCGAACTCGGCTCTCCGATTCCTCAAAACGAGTCGCTAAAATGTTTGTTTAAAAATAAATCCTTTCTTCCATACCTCTTGATTTCTTAGGAAACATATGGCCGCAACAACACATCTCCAACAGACGATCCTCTTCATCTCGGCCCATGTTGTGCCGGTTGATTTCTGCGTCAACACTTCTGCGCCAAATCTGTTTTGGTCGACCCAATTTTCGCTTCTCTTGTGGAATCCAGTCAAGGGTCTGACTGGTAACACTAGAAGCAAGCTTGCGGAGTGTGTGGACGATCCATCCCCATTTTCGTTTCTTAATGTCAATCTCGATTGGGGATGGTCTGATCCTGTCCCACGGTAAGTGCGAGAGAAAAAACTGTTGAATATGCGGTTATATTTAACTGTTTCGTTAGTAAAAGGGTGGGACCGACAAAACGATACATATATTTTAGATATCAAAAACAATATTGAGAAAAGTTAATAATGGTTTTCCTAACTACCTCATCGACCTCCAGATTAGACTATTTCTTTCTAAAGTAACAACACTAAACATACGGATAAAAACAATAACATTGACATATTCTACAAAAGCAAAATAATAAACAGGATAATAAGTCAATAATAAACAAGATAAATTTTCTTTTAGAAATATCATAAAGAAATACACTAGCCTAAGTATTTTAATTTGTTTATTATTTACATAATTTGTCTATGTAATTTTTTGATTATTTTATTTTAATACGGGTTTTGGTTATAATATTTGTTTAGTTTATAGTTTAAAATATTCGATTTGTCTAAAATATGCTGCATTATCTGCGTGTATACAATGAATAGATTTGTATTTAAATATTTATATTTACATAGGCTCTATCCCTGATATTGAGCACTTTTACCCATAAATATAGCGTACCTTAAAACTATATATATATATATATATATATATATATATATATATATATATATATATACATACATACCTATATATATGTGTGTGTGTGTGTGTTATCTTGTTCATTCTTCTTAATGTAACCCCCCCTAAGAAAACTTTTCTAGGTCAATTTATTTTTGCAATTGTTTCATCTTGTATATTTTCTT